CACTAAGGAAGATGTAGTTCTAGAATTTGTTGATACTTTGCACCAATTAGCGGATATCTTTACAAAACCCTTAGACAAGGAAAGATTTTGGACACTTAGGAGAGAATTAGGTTTGACCAACCTATCTTCACTTAGTGTTTAAAATAATTTTAGCACTTTTAATAAATCTTGAAAAAATGCTTATAATAATAATTTTTGATTGCATTCTTGCTATTAGTTAGGGGGAGTTTGTGATTCTTAATGAAAATTAATTTTATGTTCAAAAATCGATTAAAGATTAATTTAATTGTTTGAACATAATTAATATTTGATATATGAGTTGCCAATACCACTAGAAAAGATTAATTTAGCATTTTGTGCTTAAAAAATCGGATTTTAGCATTTTGGTGCAGAGGGAATCGATCCCCCCCTGAGGGAACCGATTCCCCCTTTGAAGGGGAACCGATTCCCCCCACAGGGGAATCGATACCCCCCTGGGGTTCTGTTAAAATCGGGCAGAACACCCCCAAAATCCCAAAACCCTCTTCTCTCCCTCTCTTCCGCCGTTTTTCACCTCCTACATCCTCAAATCTCCATTTTTGTCTCAAATCGACGATATTAATCGGAATTTACTTCAAATATCATCTTCTAAACCTGTTGAAATCATTAAAGTCGTGCAAACAACATCTAAATCCCCTCAATCATCTTTCAAGGTAATTTTTCTAAACTCTCTATTTCATTATTTTTGAACATAGGATTAGTTGTAATTAGTTCTAGGTTGAAATAGTGATCGGGCATTGCTTATTTAGGGATTAGAAACTAGATGTTACAACTAATTTCATCAAAAACACAAGAATTTTTCAAAATTTTTTAAATTTTCGAAATAAAAAAAAATGTTATTTTTCAAATTATTGTGTTTTGATTAAATTATGTTGTTGTTATGAAAAACTATACATATATTGTTTCTCAAAACCATATTTTTCAAAAGTTTTTCAAAAACTTTGCCCATTAGGATTGATTTAGAGAATCTTGAAATATTGAGGACTCATTTGAGTTTTGGGATTAATTGAATTGCATACATCTGTTTTAAAATTGCAGGTTATTCTATCTATTCCGATTTCCTTCACCATGTCAAATCCTAAACGTCCTAGGTCTTCATCTAGTCGTTCTAGTCGTCAACCAAATCCTCCTCCTATTCCTCAAAATCCTATTCAAAATCTTGATCCTAACTTGACTATCCAAAATTCTTGTTTCAATCAACCGAGTCCTAAAGATTATCGTTATTGGTTTTACCAATATTTTGACTCGTATAAGATTAGGGAAGAACGTATCCCATCTCTTCAAACTATGGTTGACATTAACTTTAAATATCTCCCTATCTTGCACGAATGGAAATTTGATAAACTTTTCGAACTTGAACCCATTGTCTATCATCAACTTGTTCGTATCTTCTACTGTAATGCCGTTTGTATCAAAAATCGTGACAAAACCAAAACCATAGGAGTGCGTTCCTACCTCCTAGGTCAATATTTCCATCTTGATCCGGATTACATAGCCAATGTCTTAGGCTTGGACAATGAAGGTTTATCAAACGAAAAACAAGTTTTAGGCTCACGATATAAACGGAATGATAGTGCAAGTGTTTTAGATCTCCATGAGCGTTTTCTTCATCTCATGATCACTTGGTGGTTTCGACCATCTGGGGGTCGATATTCAACTCTTAGAGCTTTAGATCTTTGGTGGTTGCACTGTTTTGAAAACAATATAAAAATAAACCTCTCCGAGATTATCTTTGCTGAAATTGTTGAAACCGTTAACCTAGTGCCAAATAAGAAACTCTGTTCTTCACTAGTTTACGGTTGTATCCTTAGTAATCTCTTTTCTAAAGCTGAACTCCGAGTTGGTCTAGATGCCTCATTTCCTCTTAAGAAACAAATCAATCTTCTTTCTTTAACAAGAGCGGGATGGGTCAAAAATAAGGAAACCGGTGCATGGGTTCGATCTTCTACTCCGGGAGCTAGTTCTTCACAAGCTCCACCCGAAGCTGACGAAGATCCCGAGTTTGAACAACTAATGAGGGATATTGATGAAGCTGAAGAAGAACCTGAACAACCCGAGGAGCACGCACAACAATCGACTCAAATGCCTCCATATTTTCAATCCTTCATGGAGACATTTGATTTCCGTTATGCTACAATGGATTCGCGCTTTTCCTCTATAGAGTCTCATTTATCCACAATGGGAGCTCAACAATTAGAGATTCTTCAGGAGATGCGTGCAAACAATGAAGCAACCAATGCTCGTATTAATGAACTAACTCATGAAATGGCTGCTATGCGAGCCCGTTTTCCACCTACCGATCCGGATGTTTGATTTTATGTTTAGCTTTAAAACTTTGAACAAAATGAATATTGTTTCAACATTTTGAATTGTTTGATTTTGTGGATTGTTGGATTTTGAATTTATGGATAATGTGAACTTATATGTTTGGTGTGTTTTATTCGTTATTGCATCATTTACATCATTATTAGCAATATGACCAATTTTGCCATATCACATTATTTATGAATATTGATGAAACTAATGGCTAACCTCTCTTTTGATTGTGATCTTAGCAGCTTAAGCTTATAATTAATAAATCAATTGGCTAAATGATTTCAAAACCTTGTTTTACAATGTCTTTTTGATTTAACAAAAAGGGGGAGAAGAATAAGTTAAGTGTTAAATGTTTTACATAATAAATTGAAGAAGTGTTAAAGTAAGGGGGAGTAATTTCAAAATTTCAAAACTTGATTTCAAAAATCTTAAAATTACTAAAATGTTTTGTTATATCAAAAAGGGGGAGATTGTTGAAACATTTTGATATTTCGATATAACAAATTAAGTTAAATGGATTTTAAGATTTTCCAAATGATTTTCTAAGTATATTCGATATAACTATTCGAATATCAAAACATTACTCCAAATATTTCAAAAATCATTTTTAATCCTTACTTAAGTGTAAAATTAAGTTTTAATCATAAAACAATTTCAAAATAATTTTACAAAGTATTTCGAACCAATTCAAAGCCAAAAATTCCAGATTGCTCATAGGGAACCGATTCCCCCCCATAGGAGGAACCGATTCCCCCCTGAATGGTTTGACTCCGAGATTTCCAGAATGCTCGGAGGGAACCGATTCCCCCATAGGAGGAACCGATTCCCCCCTAAACAGTGTTGTTCCGGGAATTCCAGTATGCTTGGAGGGAACCGATCCCCCCCAAGGGGGTACCGATTCCCCCCTTGTATAACGGTCGAAATATTTGAATTTTACACTTAGGAACCGATTCCCTTCAAGGGGGAACCGATTCCCCCCACGCTCCAAGCTATTTTATTAAATGTTTTCACACTAAAACGGCTATAATATCTTCTCTAATCATCCCCAACGTTCAGAAGTGATCCAAGGTGTATTTAAGCAAGCTTAGAAGCCATTGATCAAAAACAAGAAACATCAAGCAACTAGAATCAAGAGAGAATCAAAGAGAAAGCATCAAACCTCAAGTTTGAGCATTTCAAGCCTATTTTCATTCAATATTCATTTTGCTTTCAAGAACACTTTTTGTACTCAATTGTATTCATCTTTGAGTGTTCTTTTCTTTGTTCTAGAATTGTGCAAACATCTTACATTGTGAGGTTTTCTTGTAAGTTTGCAAATTTGTAATCTTCTCTTTGGGAAAAAGAGTGTTCTCAAGAGTTGGGGTATACTCTTGAGGGAATTGTAAGGTTATCTCTTTGGCCTCAAAAGAAAGAACAAATTAGTGAATTTGTTGGAAAATCCTTAGTGTGGATAGCTAAGGTAGTGGACGTAGACTTTATTTGAGAAAGTCGAACCACTGTAAATCGCTGTGCAATTACTTTCAATTTTCTGCAAAAGCTTCCACAAAAATTTTAATTGCCAATTCACCCCCCTCTTGGCCGATTTCGTCAATCGATTAACTCAACACGATAGATACCTCATAAAAGACCTATATTAGCTATCCACTCTCTAAGTTTGAGGTATTATTTTCTTAAACTATTTAATCTTTTATTTTTTGAGAAAACCTTTTTTCTAGTTTTGATTTTTATTTGCTTTCTCATGTATTGCATGTGCTTATTTTTTGTTCTCGAAAGTTGATCTTCATTTTTTGATTTTATTTCATAAAAGTCTATTCCATTAGTTCTTAGTCTCATTGGTGGTGTGAATCTATTTATTTTTATGTAAACTCGATCTCTATATAGAATTTGATTTTTTTTTCTTCTGAAATTTGTTATGCCTTCTAATTTATGAGTTTTCATGGGTGTGGAGTTAATTTGATAAGAGTTACAACATAGATGACTTTCCTTGCTTTTGTATATATCTTTGTTGCAAAGTTTTTGGCCTTTTAGATGTTGATCCATCAAAACTCGAGTTGTCGTTTGCAGATGGGACTAAAGTTCGTACGATCGAGGAGACGAGTGTAGATTCACAAGAGAATTTTGATATATGAGTTTCTTTGGGTGAGGTTTCTTTTGTGGTGAAGTCAATATTTAGTCATTGATCTCCGGAAAAGATAGCTGGTAGTGGTCAAAATTGATGTCGGTGTGATAGCCGGAACCTGGGTTCAAATGAGATTGAAGGGAGAAAGAAGAAGGAAAGAGCAAAAATGAAAAAAAAAAGAAAATTATTTTTTATTTAAATTAAAACTACGTCATTTTAGTTTAAATTTAATTTTTTATACAATTCAAAACTACGTCGTTTTGGTGTTGATTGCCACATTATGACACTGTTAGAAAGTTAACGGTTGAGTGACAAACAAAATCCAATCTATAAAGTTTAGTGACCAAATTAAAAAATTGAAAGTTTATTGAGCGAAATAGGAAAGATATTAGAGATTAATGATGAATGGTATAGTTTACCTCAAAAATATTATAACAAGTATATATATATATAATATTTTCGGTTTGCATTTTCTCGTTCCGGAAAGTGATCACGACGTGAATATATGGAAATCCTCCTTTTTACGGCCACCTGTCATTCTCCGTCATGCCGTAGTCTCCCCCCAAATTAAAACCACCCGCAACTGTTTTCCCGAGAAAATTACCCCTCACAGTAAACAAAATTTCCCGAGAAATGATTCGATCCTCGTGAAGAAAAAGAAGGAAATTCTAACCGGGCGAGACCATATCCATGAGGTCGATCTATGACCTCTTTTCAAACTTACAAAACCGAAAGCTTTCCTCTTCAATTATTTCATGGACAATCGAGGGCAACAAGACCGAGACAAAGCCCTAATTACCAACCCGAAGCAAATCAATGCCGCTGATGATAATGTGCACGCAATTGAATGGGAAGATTTCGAGAACGAGCTAGCTAGATTGTGGAGTTTAACTTCTGCCCTTAAGGAAGCTAATGAGAAGAAGCAAAGTCTTCAAGAAAAGCTCCAATCACTCATTCAGGTAATGATTTTTTTCCTGATTAAAATTAGGTTTTTTTTTGCTTGAGAAATATGTTATATTGTTATTTTTTCAAATCAATTTTGTGTTCTTGAATATAATCTGAATTTGGAGAGAGAGAAAAGGGGTTTTGAAATGGAAGGAAACTGGGGATTTTGTTGGTTGGTTGGGAGGTAGTGACTTGAGTGATAAGGTAAAGGAGACAATGTTGAAATTTTAGTAGCTTGGACCAGTAATCCGGTTTATATGTCATTTTTTCTTCCTGGTTTAGAAATAAGTGTATGGAAAAATAAGTAAACCTTAAAAAATAATTGATCAAGTGATCAACTATTGGAAGAAAGTTGTTTTTCTAGATTCTTAATGCAGTAATGTTTAATAATTTTATGTAGTTGTAGAGAGGACCCATAATATGCTATAATTTTAGTTTTATGCTCAGTGCTGATAATTTGCTGGTTGACCTCTCATTGTGGGAACTGATATGCGTTATATGGATCACAGTTCTCTGTCAACTAAATCGTGTTGGTATGTGCTATTTGGATCAATTCCCCAAACCTGACGAACTATGAATCAGAGGATGAAGTTGTAGTATTTCAGTTTACACAATGTTTTATTTTCTCTGTTTGATTGATAACCTTAGGCTATCTAGTCATTGAGCACAAAAAAAAAAACCAGATCTCTGGGGTCTGTACCTAAACTTGTTTACTAGGTTGGGTAGTATAGGTTGTGAAATTGGTAAAGCCAATCATTTCAAGTTGGCATATTATGACTTCTGTTGGGTTGCTCAAATGCTTCAGCAAGAATACTAGGCAGAACATTTTTCAAATAAGCTTTAGTGGGATGAAGCGAGACGATAATTGTTGCAGTGAATGAAACTTTTCCTTGACAATTTAAATATTCAATATGTGTATTCTTTTTAGTACCAAAAAAACAGTTCTGATTCTCTTCAGTTCTCTTATGCTTCATTTACTTATTATATTTGCTTCCAACTGTAAGGCAAAATGAGTATATTTTCACTGTTATCCCCCGATATATATATATATTTTTGAAATTGAGTATCCGGTTCTTTTGTATTGTGTCACAAAAGTTGAAATGGCAGTTATCACTTATTTGGCTGGATGCCTGAGCTTAATTTGATCAAATAGATTTATTGTTCTCCCTTTCTTCAAGATTTTTTGCCTTTTGTACCTGATAGATTCATTGTTTCTGTTGTTTCTTTTCTTCCTTTCGGATGCTTCCCCCCCTCAATTTTCCTGTTTTTAGGTCCCTTAAATTGTTTCATATTGTAATGTAAACATGCCATTGAAAGCTGTTTAAGAGTTGCATTTGCAATCCTCTTTGTTCATATTAGTTTTAGTAGATATGAAAGTTGAATTGATCAAGCCATATGACACTTGAAGGACCTGGTGAGCTGTAATCTAAATTTGTTTTGTTGCACCACACTCGCTCTCTATATTTGAAATGGCAGTTATCACTTATTTGGCTGGATGCCTGAGCTTAATTTGATTAAATAGATTTATTGTTCTCCCCTTCTTCAAGATTTATTACCTTTTGTACCTGATAGATTCATTGTTTCTGTTGTTTCTTTTCTTCCTTTCGGATGCTTCCCCCCCTCAATTTTTCCCTTTTTAGGTCCCTTAAATTGTTTCATATTGTAATGTAAACATGCCATTGAAAGCTGTTTAAGAGTTGCATTTGCAATCTTCTTTGTTCATATTAGTTTTAGTAGATATGAAAGTTGAATTGATCAAGCCATATGACACTTGAAGGACCTGGTGAGCTGTAATCTAAATTTGTTTTGTTGCACCACACTCGCTCAATAGCTTTGATAACATGGACCTTATTATTTGGCCAGCTGATTAGCGGGCGGGAACTTGTTATGCAGGTCAAAACTGAGTCTTTGAATAAACTGAATGAACTTGAGGAAATGCGTGAGAAACTAGAGGCAGGAAAACTAGTGATGGCAAACATGTCAGCTCGTTGCAAAGTTGCAACAGAGGATGCTAAGAAACAGGAGGAAATGCTTAGTACTGAAGTGAGATCATTGTTGGTTGCCGGTACCTCTCTTTCTGGGGCAAGGAAGCGATTGCAGGTGAAGCTTTTTTATTCTTAAAATGTCAATTAGCTTTAGAATTCCATTTTTCATTATCAGGAATGCTGAATTTATGACATTTTGAAGTTTTCTTTTTAATTCAGTTTTAGTTGTTATAAATTCTCCTCCCCAGCCAAGAAGACCATCTCTCTCTTCCCCCACCACCCCGAGTGAAGGTGGATAAGGGGCTTAAATGGAGATGTTTCTCATTCTATGAATTCCTTGGAATAGTCAAGGATTTTATCCCTTTCTTGCTCTCCTACTTCTCCGTCTTCTTTTTTCAGATAATTGGTTGGTAGTTTTTCATGCATGGCATGATTGATTATCTGTTGTTTTTATTACAGGAAGCAAATAGATTACTCACTGAAGAAAGAGGTCATGTTAAACTTAAAAATGTGCAAAGGAAGCTTCGAGCAAGGCAACAATATATGATATCACAAGTTTCACTACTCTATCCTGTAAAGATCTTGGTTGGACCTGCTCAAGAGCAAGAACTTGAGTCCTATTCTGGCAGTAGTAGAGTAGGTAATGTGCTAGTAATTTTGGATGGATGAACCTTTGCAAAAAAGTGTCCAACATATAGTTTTAATTGGCAGTCAATCTCCTGGTTTAGAAAACAATATCCTTTTCCCGTTTAGTTCATGGTTCATTGCGATATTTTTAATTAATGTTTATCGACTACCATATATCATTGAGAACCCATAGTTTTGCTTGTCATATTTCGTACTCTTTTTCTTCCCTTTGTTCTTGAGATTTTGGATCTTCAAAATGATTTGAGGAAAGCTTTACCGACAACAGCAGCTTGTGGTTTTTACTTAGACCTAGCTATATTAGACATGATTTGATTATATGACACAAACACATGGAAATCTGATTAAAGCTTGTCATAGCAAACAGAAATAACACAGACATGCCAAACACTTGAAGTCTTGAAATCCATATAATACAAAGTATCAAAACTTATATTAATATAAAACACTTTTAACAATTTTGACGTGATAAAACACACAAATTGCCTGTGCTACTTTTGATAATAACTTATTGAAGATTTTCTCAGTTGGATAAGTCTTTAATGATTCCTAAACAGCACAAGGAGTACATTACTTGTCATTTCACCCTTCTTTTGGACTTTTTCATGCTCTGGAATACTGTGAAGTTTTGGACGTCTTTTACTTTCATGGTTACACTTTTTGACTCCAACACAATGGTGGCGCCTGCTGATGTATTGAATCATTGATACTAACTTCTTTCTGTTGCTATTATCACTAGGGAATGCTTCTGTATCTAAGCCTGCTAATCAAGGGTCCTTGACGATTTTAGGTCTTAATCTTACCATGCTTCCTTTCACAAAGATCAGTTTTTTCACCGACAAAAAGGAGGTTCAGAGATCTGCAAGTGCCTTAGGATATGTTGCACATGTGTGTTCCATTGCTTCTGCATAATATAAAGTTATCTTTTATTACTGATTTTTCCTTTTTCCTTTTGATAATATCAAGTTTTATACATCAAGTTTTTTCTACCTACTTCCTGCAATCCATTGTTGCTTCAAGATGCAATAGTAATTTTAGAATGCTCTGATGGAAACATAGTATCTTGGGTCTATTTTTGTTAATTTGTTTCTCTTGCTGATGCTATAATTTTAATCATACGTAATCGCTCTTTCTCGTTTCCCCTTGTTTCCTCGCTTGCAGGCTGTTTCACTAATTGCATCCTATTTACGAGTTCCTTTGCGTTATTCTCTGCGCTTGGGTGGTTCTCGCTCATACATTAACGACCATGCGCCTTCAGTAGAGCCTGCATCTTCTGATTTGTCATCGGATACGGCGTTTTCAGCAAATGTAAAACAAGCAGTATTTCCGCTGTTTTTAGATGGTCAAGACACAACAAGAGCAGCATATGCTGTATTCTTGTTAAACAAGGTGAGTTTTCACAATAGTATCATTTTTTTGGGGATGGGTTATTCTACTTCTGCATTTGTTTTTATTCTATTGGATTCAAATGGTCTGCAAAGTTGGCATGTCCATGATCTTCAATCCACATCTTTGGAAAAGAGTGCTTGTTTGCTCTTCAGCTTTGATGTCATTGATAGTGGCTAGTCATGCTTCACCTTCAGCATCACGATCATCTTCATTATCATTATGATCATGGTTGAATTATTCTGTAGATATTGGATTTACCACATCTAGTTCATTAGGATAGTTATACTTCACCGGCAGATGAGAAGGATTGTCAACAATTTCTTCTGTCATATGTTTTCTGTTTATAGATACCTTAAATGCAAATTCCTTAAGAAGAAGTGCTCTCTTCTAATCCACTTTGATCATCGTAATAAGTTTACATTGCTTGAATTTTCTGTGTTGATTATCTGTTATCAAGTATATTGTTGGATTTAATAATCTAAATCTTTCACATCTTGGATGTTAAAACCTCTTTACATGCGCATTTAAGGGTGCTTAGCAAATTTTCACGAGTATTCACCGATGTTTTAAGGCCAAGTTAATTGTCAAGATGCGTGGAATTATATTTGTTACGATCTTCGTTTTGAAACGAATTCAAAATCTTGGTTATATTTGCAGGATATAGAGCAGCTTCTGAATTTCATCGGGATCAAGAGTTTAGGACCGCGGCATGTTATGGCAAATTTGAAGGAGCTTCTAAGATCTGTCCAATCTTCAGAATATATAGATACCTGATTTTGTAGGATCAACTGTAATTAGCTATTAATACAATATAAATGGACAACCTTCACTCACACGGTACAGCTGCGCATTTTTAACCAACCCCATTGTACAAGGAAAAAAAACCCTTTAAAACCCACATTTTTTGTTGTTTACAATATCATAATCATAGAATGGAGTTTTCTGATTTCTGATGATGAGCATATTCTTGATTGTTTCAATAGAAAAATATGTTTGGAATTTGTTTGAATACAATGTTTGTCCAAAGTTGACAAGATTTGGAACTTAGTTTGTTGTTTGTTTCAGTATCAATTATTTATTATTTTCATTATTATTATTTTCGCAGTCAAACTTACATACAGATTATTTGTGATGAGATGTTACATATATGTAATAACTGATTATGATCATACTTGAAAATTCACAAAATATATGAAGATAGAACCAACAAGGTACATGCTTATAAGCTTACGTCCCACAGAGGAGCTTTATTCAAAACGTAAATAAAACAAAATGTTTCTTGTTACCGGTGGCCGATCCAAAAATATTTTGAAGCACAAATATGTTCACAACACAATTTTTGAACGAGTGTGCATAAATAAAATTTTAGGGTAAGTGTCATTAGTAAAATAGATGACTAATTGAAGAAAATTTGGATTCCGGCGGAAAGCTATGGATCTGCCGCTGCCTACTACAATGCAACTTAGCACGGGAAAACAATCGAGTGAGAAGTGTTTGGATTCACTAGTAGAATAGAAAGAGAGGCGGCACTCTGAAATATTATTGATCAAACCTTGTAATATCCTCAGGACCTGGGCAATTTATACCCTGAAGATCAAATCACAATCTTTGATCCTGGGACAACACGAACCAACTTCGTTCAAATCTTTGTGGCAGTTAAAGATATCCCCTGAAGATGTAATACGCAAGAAAGTTGCCCACGGTTGAGTAGCGATAGATGGTGATGCGCTTCTCAACGAAAGAAAGCCAAGCTCTTCGCCAATATGGATTTATATAAAGTACTACAAAAACTGTCAACAACATAACCGCATAAGAAACTAGAAAACTCACTCGGAAAACATACATGTCTAGCAAGCTATCTTCTTCATCATCTGGTACAGCTGATAATGTCGATGGTGAATCGGTTTTGAAGCAACTTTTATGCAGCATAGGTCCATAGAGAAAAGGGTTTCCCTCGTAACTGCTTTCAACAAAGCTCTCAAATTGAGCTTTTTCTGGAATGTTACCTGACAAGTTGTTGTGTGCCACACTGAAAACCTCCAAATAATTCAACTCTACCAACTGGTTGGGGATTTCACCACTCAAGTTGTTGTAAGAAAGGTCCAAGCTCTCAATCTGCTTAAGTTTTGAGAAAGATGAGGGTATAACTCTCATCAATTTATTGTGTGACAAGTTTAACTTTAAAGCATGGATTTGACTCATGTTCCCTAGTTCGGGTGGGATTGGACCAGTTAACTTGTTGCAGGATAAATCAATCTCAGTCATGTTCTCAAGGATATAACCACCATATGAGTAGGACCCACTCTTTGTTGTCAACTCTATCCATTCTTCCATGTAACTAGAAGGATAGTCATAATCTACGGTACTTCTCAATTTTATCAACCTAAAAATTGCCGGTTCAACTTCTTCCGAAAATAACTCAAAATAATCAGGCCGTAGAATCTTATTATCTTGCATCGGAAGAGTTAAATTTTCCAAGCAAGAAGGTATAGGACCAGAAAACATATTTTGAGAAAGATCTATGATGTTCAAGGAATACAACTTGCGTAGTTGAACTGGAATTCTACCCTGTAAATGATTAGCTTTCAAGAGAAGGACACTCAAAGAAGAAAGTTTGCCAATCCATTTCGGAATACTACCAGTCAAACTGTTTCCTCGAAGATCTAATGTCACCAATGAAGAGCTATTATAGAAAGCATGTGACAGTGGACCACAGTCTATTATCATGCAGGTGGACATGCTCAATTCTTAGGGGATTAAAACAAGATGGTATAGAGCCAGACAAATTGTTTCGAGAAAGATCCAAATTATTCAAACTATACAAGCTGCATATTTCCATTGGTATAGAACCCTCGAAACTGTTGTTGGACAAAGCTAATGTCCACAAATCTGACAAGTTCCCTATCCATCTCGGGAGCTTTCCATACAACTTGTTATTACTTAGATCAATTTCCCTTAATGAAGTTGGAAACTCAAAAATAGAGACATCAATATTTGTCATCTCTCCAGAAAACTTATTTCCATCCAAATATAATTCCCCCAACCCATTTGCTTTGAGAATCGAAGGAACTACATTTCCACTGAGATTGTTATTTGATAGTCCCAAAAGGGACAGTGAGCTTTTCATGATCAACCCTTCTGGAACTCTTCCAGACAATTGATTGTTTGATAGATCTAAGAATCCTAAATCCTTCATGCCACTTAAACAAGGAGGGATATTACCTTCAATGACATTCTTGGATAAGAATAAGTGTCTCAGATGTGGAAAAGTTGAACATATATTGGATGGAATCTGACCTTGTAGTTTGTTATCAGATATGTCTATGAAAGATACATTAGAATTAGGAGTCAACGACAATGAGAGAGGACCTGAAAGAGAATTACCCTCCAACATGAGATAGCTTAACTTTGTGTTGTTTTTTAACAGCCAAAGTGGGGTCGTTCCACTGAGCTTGTTTCCAGAAAGATGCACATATCTCAAGTCAAATTGGTGGAAAAGGAAGGTAAGAAATTCAATACTGGGCTCTTGAGATGTTATGCAGTTTCAGACACTGATGAATTTCAGTTGGAACTTTGGGGAAGAGGTATACTGGGAAGATTCCATTACCATCTTGTTTTCATCAACGTTAAGGACCTTGAGGTTTGGAAGGTTTGCAAACGGTGCCAATGACGTTGGAGTTTGAAAATGATTGCTTGAAAGAGAGATGAATCTAAGTGATGTAAGATTTGCTAAAGGAGTTAGATTTCCGGAAAATTGATTATTTGAGATGTCCAACTCACGAAGAGATGTCAAATTACCGAAACAATCTGGAAACATCCCCTCAAATGCATTCCAACTCAAATCCAACACTTGAAGGTTCTCTAGACTACAACATCATGAAAAGATTACAATTTCTGATTAAATTTATTTTAAAATAATATCATTCTTACAGAAAATGAATGATTATTTGAATGATACCTTTGTGGATCACAAAATCTTTCAATTAATTATTCCCCATATATAGTTCCCTTAAGTTGGTAAATGCATCCAAATATGGCAAAAAGAAAGTAACACAATCATATCATCTATTGATATTTTTGTTAGCAGACTCAACATTCTGATAGCAAAGGGAATAACTTCACCTTTCATATCTATTGATCCTTTTAACAGATTGCTGCTTATGCTCAAAGACTTCAGATTTTAGAACCCATTAAGGGATGGATGCAAAAACGCTTGTATTGAAGAGATTGCCGTCTAAATTAAGCTTATTTAAATGATACAATTACAAATCACATTATCTTTTAATTGATTATAGTATAATTATTATGTAACTTATGAATATGAAGTAACTTTCCTTCCAAAAGATATTTACTCGAACATGTCATATGGAACCACCTAATGTAATTTTTTAAAGAATTTTTACCTAAATCAAGAGTTTCATACTATTGAATCTTAAAAATCATTAATTGTTCAAACGTATAAACATTTAAGTTTAAATCAAATGATTAGTATTATGAGGATTTGTATACGTTGTTATTGAAAATAAATTTGCTTACCTACGTAAGATTGAAGGCTTTGGATTCGGTTCCAGCTTAGATCCGGTTCCTTCAAATTTGTGAAATTATTCAATCCTATATATATTCAAGTCCAAATCAAATAATTAATACCAAAAGATTATTACTCAAATCAAGTTCCTCCAACTTAATTAGCCTTAATTGTGTTTCATCTATTATAGGAACAACATTTTTATAATTAATATCATTGGGCGTTGAATGTTTTATAAGCTCATCGCTTTAAAATTTTAATTTATTGAATATATAAATTATATTAGTTTGAGATAGTCTCGATTTTATTCTTACTTATCTCGATTTTATTCTTACTTAAATCTAAGTACTTCAAGTTTATCAAGTTATTCGATTTTAAATATTGATAAGTTATATATTCAGTATACGATAAAAGCAAATGATATAACCAACATGGGTTGGTTCAAATAGTAAACAACTTGACATCGCATAAGCAAAATCTCGAGTTTGAGCCATTGTGTATGCAGAAAATCCCTGTTGGGAGATTCACCCACCAAAACCATGTGTGCGACGTAGGTTGGCCTGGAATTAATCAAGACGAAACTTTGGAACCGGGAGGGTAACAAAAAAAAAAAAGAAGAAGAAGCAAATGATGTAAAATATTTTTTTCCTCAAAACAAAATACGTAGAACCATTCTACCTTGAATATGCGGTAACTTCCTTTCCAAAAGATTACCAATAAAAAATTTAGAGTCTTCTAGGATGACAGACCACCCAAATGAAACATAACGTTATTCTTCAAAGAATTCTCACTTAAATTAAGAGTTTTTAAATTACTTAGTCTTGAAAACCTGATATGAACATATTAGTTACTGCAATAACATAAATAAATGATAATTTTTCATTTTTAAGTTTATTTGATTAATTACTCGTTAGATTAAATAATTTAATTTACTCGTTAAATGACTTGACCCTTCGAGTTGATTCCGTGCTAAATTTAAATACCGGAGAGATGAAAGCTCACTCAAAGGTAACAAAATGCTATCATTCAAGTGATTCCAACTTAAGTCAAGGATCTCCAAATTGTTTAATGTAGTTGAGAGTTTTTCGAAACCTGCAGAAATGTTCTTTTAAAAACATAAAAGGAGTTGGTGGCTTTTCTTCAATGGAATTTAAAAAAAAAAAAGTATGGGTAATTGCAAAATAACAGCTGGTTTTTGTTGAAAACTTGTGTATAGTGGAATAATAAAAGATAAAATTAAGGGCAGGACCTTCATTTTGAATGCAACCAGCACTGGCATTCCCTTATAAAGAAAGAGTCTTCAATTCCACAAAGGGAAGAAACATAGAGGCATTCAAATACCAAACCTTATATGTATACCTAATATATATAATTAAGGTCGAGTCCTATAAGTCGTCCAGTGGTGGTGTTGCACTCAATCCCTTTCCATTGACAACAATTAGGGATGTTCACCTCATCCCAACTGGCAAGCTTATATGTACTATTGAAGAAAGATTTGAGTTGCAAGAGAGCAATTCTCTCATGCTCCAAACAAGCATCAGTAGTAGTACCTTTTAACACCAACAACACACTCATCACTGCTATCCTAATAAACCACATCCATTTCAACTCCATCATCTCTCTATTTTCTCTCGAGTATTGTGTATGCTACGTCTAACTTGTATGGATGTAATATGAATAAGCTGTGATCAATCTTATTATTGATAGACATACATTGAGCAAACCAAAGCCATCCCTCTAATTCTCTATTTTTATTTTCTATTATTATATATAATTAATTCCATAAAAAAATTGACCATTCCCTTTGTTGTATGCGGGAGGATTTACATGTAGTTATTTTATTTTGGCCGAGAAATAAATTTCATGATTGAATTAGTGTCACGAGTCGGTCGAGAAAATTAAAATATTATTCTTTTTGAATGAGAATTGATATTATTGTAAGATTTTTTCCTTTTCATATTATTATATAAATTTTAGAATAGAACATAAGATTAATAATAATCAAATACTTTTCATAAATGCATATTTTTTATTAAATGTTTTCGGTCACCAAGATTTTTTCATCATTTTAAAGTGGTTTAATTCCTCTAAGATAATGATTTCTCTTGTTTTTCATCTTTGATAATTTCATCTTCCAAGTACAATAATTATTTTTCATTTTCTTTAATTTTTAATTAAATAAAAATTCTTTGAAATTTAATGATGAAAGTGGACTCTAATTAACGTGCATAAAACTTTAATTTTTATGGGGGGGGGGAATGAAGTCTTCTATTCTACCTTATTTTATACGCAAGACTCAAAATACTTGGGTCATTACAATTGTTTCCAACATATGTGGACCATTTTGAAGATATTGAGCATGATCTTGATAATGAAAGTTGATAGCTAATACGTACCTACAAAATTTTAATTTGTGAGAAATTTATATCTCGTGCTTGATTTCACATGTATACAATTATTTTTTAAAATCTAACACAACACAATTATATAACATAATAAAATTAAGAGAAAAGTATTGAAACATGATATTGGTTATATATCATAGTAAAAAAATATTTAAAATATTAATAATAAATTTAATTCAGATGTATTCATGGAAAATTTAGGCCATGGTTTTGTTTTAGTTCATGGAAAATATGGGTCTTGATTTTGTTTCTATTCATGGAAAATTTAAGTCTTGGTTTTGTTTTTATTTCATGGAAAATATGGATCTTGACTTTGTTTTTATTCATGGAAAAATTAGGTCTGCTTTTGTTTTAATTCATGGAAGTACTATGCCTTTAGTTTTGTTTTAAACTCATGATGAGAGAGTTCTGCCGTTCTACCCAATTCAATAGAATTAATTTTTTATTTAGACCAGTAAACGAACAAATAACATGTATGATTCACATAAATAATTTTTCCAAAATCTCATCCTAATTAGTTTTGTACAAAATTAAGTTGAAATCAAAAGTGAGTTAGTCATACAAGTTGTGTGGTTCGAGATGTAAAATTAAATTTTTGAACTCAATGCTACAATTGAGTAATAAAATCCGATTAATCAAGAGTCAATCCGAACTGTATACACCACTACTCAACAGGAACTTTAATGTGGCCTCCATGTGAGTTAAACAAAGACAGAACCGTGTAGTTTACTGCTAAACCATATGAAAAACATTTAAAAAAAAAACAGATTGCAGAAATTACAAACAATCCGAAGTAAGACACTGAGTCAAAATTAATTATCACATTACATTTTAGATAAAGAATAGGTTTTACAATTTGTTATGTTACTTAAACCATGGCTTAAGCCAAGCTATGTTACTTAAAGGCACCCCAAACAAAGGGGTAAATCAACTGATATATATGCATGCCACTGACAAACTTGCACCATTAGATTCTCAAGCTGGCAATTGGAGCTTCACATTGTTCTTCCAGCTGCAGATATAGACAGATAATCAGATGCATTCAAATAATTAACACGAGTATAAACTGCTTTTTGGAGTGATATAGGTGTTTTACCTCTGGAAGTAATAGTAGAAGAAATCAGCGTACAGCAATGTCTGGACAAGCCCTGAAATCCAAGCTGAAAAAGAAAAACAATCATATAAACAAGGTGTTTGAAAACATCAAATATCGAAAATGCATGCTTATATATTTATTGATTCGAACATTCCTCGTACATCTATGGCCACTGACATGGGACAGAAATGCTCGGAGACAGAGGGAGATAGAGAGAGGGAAGACATACTTATCCAGTGGACAAAATGCTCTTCAGTAAAGTACCGATAAACCCAGTTCAATATGTACAATGCTCTGTACGCACTGCAATGAGAAGGAACAATATTAGTTCCTAACCGAGAATTAAACATTTAGAAGTTAATGACTTGAAATAAGGGAGAAATGCATACATATCATGGTGCTAAATAGAGGCACTATGAAAATTCTCCAAGGGATTTGTAAAGCACTTCGGTCTTGAAGTTTTTATGTACCTTTGGAGCCAACATGTACCAACTACCATGGGTTTTCCCACTAAATGCCCTCCAATAACTAGAGGAACAAAGGGGAACGAAAGCCAAAAGGTTTAAGGGATATAAATTTCAAGATCAACGTAAACTTTGGTCCGACCTGATATCAACTTTTCATCAGGAACAAACGCACGGTAAAATGCTGTCAACTCTATTTAGAGATTTTATCTCTTTTGTTTTCTAGCTAAATTAACATGGAAGGAGGTAACATTATAGGGAAATGAAAGCCAGGAAGTAAGGGTTCATCATGCAAGGTAACAATTACGGCAAACCTGCCACTGATTAGGAATATTATAGCATACAGTGGAAGTTCAAATTTACCCAAGGAGAAACACATATTGTCCGGTCAAGTTGTCAATATTTCTAGTCCGTTGCAACAATACAAGCTGAGGAAGTATGGCGACAGCTTCCAAATACAAGGAAAATGTCCACATGACCTGCTCAACCATTTTTGTCAGACAAACACTCACATATTAAAATATATTAGTCTAAAAGACAATAGAAACAGATGATTTCTTAATGACTAATTAAAGTAAACACATCGATAGTATACATAGCTTCTAATTCAACCAGAATGAATTTAACGTATAGAATCATGATTGTAATGAGTAATGACTACACGGAAATGATTATTCTATTTTCAAACAAACAGGAAGAAGGAATGTTGATACCTCTTTGAAGGTGAATTTCTCATTTATAAGAAGGGCAAGAATCAGGCAAGGCAGCATAAGGATATAATGTCGAAATGTATCCTGGTCCTTATCATAAGATCTACGAACTATCTTGTGCAATCACATGTACCATACAATTGAGAAAGAGCTTCCCAGGAATATTAGCTTCATGATCGTGTTATAAGGCGAGATGTAACTAGTGAATATGTCCAAGTAACGAGTTGCAAAGACAATAGCGTAGAGTTCTTGCGTCTTCAGGGAAATTCCTGCACAAAAATATAGGACTTCATATCATAGAAAAATGATTCAGGGCCAGAAAACAGTTCATAAGATATGACAGGACGTGTGATACAGAATTGAATGTTGAATACAGAGACGCAACATAGGACAGTGGAGCTATATAAACACAGGAGACACCTAGGCCCAAAGGGGAATCTTGCCCGTTAAGTCAAATGCCATGGCATGCCTATGAATGAACACGAGCTTAGGATTCCTACTTTTTGAGTTCCATTACATGCTGTTTTTCTCTTCCTATAACAGTAACCATGGTCGAGATGCAAATAAGCATATCTATAAATATGTTATTTACAAAGAAAAAGCTCCAAATACTCCACCAGAATGTGAAAGAACCTCTGTAAGCATACATCCACTTAATATTTGAAAACTTCTGTGCACTGAATCCTCAATTGATAGCATCTCTAAATTCTATAACAACTCATGTTCCGGCAAGTAAATGGCTTTAGCCACCCATGAATGCTCCAGCCATCCCACCTCACAGTACCATTTTAAAGTGGAAAAAGAATCCGACAGGCTAATTGAGCACATGGAAATAATCAACTTAATCAAGCAAATAAAAATTAGGTGGCATTTCTGCCCCAAATCAACTTTGTGATAGGGTGAGAAGAAAATGGAAATAATCAACTTAATCAAGCAAATAAAAATTAGGTGGCATTTCTGCCCCAAATCATTTTTGTGATAGGGTGAGAAGAAAACACTCTATCATCTGTGGTTATAGTTTAAGGCCCTCGTCATATACCGATATAATCATATTCTTCTCGAAACATAGGCCATCAAGACATAAAACCACTTGCTTAAATTTACCACAAAATATAATTAGCTTAGTGATTTCGATAAAATTTCCAACGCATTATAAACACTCATTACAAATTTCAAACCCTTAGATATTTATTGCTACAAATTGAAAGAAAACCAACTAAAAGAAGATCCCATTTCGGAGACTCTGTAACACCCCAATTTAGGGGCTAAATTTAAGAAAATATAAATTGGTGGATTTAATTTGGTATTTTGAAAGAAATAAGGGATTAAATTACAAGATTTCAAAGTTGACAGACCGTTTTAAGAAGTGTAGGAAGTTCAGTGGCTAAACTCTTGGTTTAGCCATTTTTAATTATGAGATGTTATAAACCCCCCAGACTCCCGTATGTTTCTGGAAAATTTTCCAGTTTTCCTCTCCCGTTCTCCCTACTTCCAACTCCGATCTACTCGCCGTCCGACCTCCAAACGACAAGCCGAAACAACCATCGTGTTCGTTGTCAACCGAAGAACAAAACCCCTCAAACCTTTCGTCGTAAATCATCACCGTTCGTTGTGAATTTCAGTCGGAAGTATCGTCGGTAATAACTCGGTTTTAGTTGGTTTTTCATCGATTCACGACGATCGAGTCATCCGTTTACGACACCTCCCGCACCATCGTGTTCCTTGTGCCGTTCCGAGTCCACCGGTGTTCTCCTTTTTCTCTGACGGCGGCGGCGCGTTGGGAGGTGAACCGGTCAAACTTCCCGATTTGTTGAAATCGAGCTCTCTGCCGTTCAAAATTGTGAACCGAGCTTTGTAAGTATCTCGAAATCGCTCAAAATAATTTTTAGAAATTTTTCTGGGATTTTATCACTGTTCACGCGCCCCCACGCGCCGCCACTGCGCGTGGGGAAGGGAAAAGTGACCGGTTTGACCGGT